TGGCGTTTTACAAACTTGACCAACCCTCCCTAGGAGCTCCGAAAGGAGCGCCCTGCTCTAGTAAATAAAAAAAGCTCAGGAAGAATATCAGATCTTACCAGCTGAACCCGCAGCTGACTTCCCTGTTAAAACAGAAATTCCTGGTGCTACTGGCTCTGAAGTGCTGGAAGTATCATAACCTGCTGCCAATTTAAGATCGTATTTCCCTTCAGCTCCCATTCGGTATGAATTGGAACCTCCATGATCCCACGTTACATCAATCCAGCCTTAGAGAGAAGGAAAATAGAACAGTGGTGAAGAAACATATCAGAACTGCAGTCTGAAGACAAAAATTACACAAAAGATTTTAAAACCTTCATTAAAATGTAACACACTGAATTCTTATTTAGTCACAAGGAGGTTCCTAACAGTGGATATTATTCAGTAAATGACATGAAGACATCAAATTTTGCTGGACCTACTGACAAAGTTAGTTTAACTTGTACATGCTTTGTTTTACTTAAAAAGAAAAGAAAGTAAATTCCGTAAGACTTGATGTTCTCACAGCGGTGAGTATGAAGATTTCCGTCTTCTGGGTTGTTGGAGGCAGTATGACCTCTGAAACGTTGGTTAACATCGACCATACTACACAGCGCAACAACCCAGAAGACGGAAATCTTCAAAGTAAATTCCCTTTGAAAATGCAAAGCAGATGATGTGCAGGTGCCACACAAAGTGTTAATAAGAACAGAGACATTACAGAAATTTGAGTGTACATCAACATCGTCACTTAGCAAAATTTACTCTTATCTACCAGAGGGCTTCGAATCTTTACATAAATTAGACACTGAAGTAACACTATTATGTTTGATATGGAAAATATTTTCTCTTGAGAGAAGTATTTAGTATTAAATGTGACGATACATTTTCCACACAATTTCTTCCACATTAAGCTCACTTACCATTATGAAGTTCCCCAGTAACAGTACCCTCGCCTGGAGGGTTTCCATCCTGGTCCCGCCATTTCCAATCCAGGCCACGCACAACACGAGCACCAACCAACAAATGTTTCAGCACTTGCGTGCGCAGAAGTCGTCTCTGCCGTCGTAGGTTTGCCTCTGCCTCCTTTGCAGCTTTTCCTGCAGGTGGAGAACATAATACTGCACACACTTGTTGCACAGAATTCACAGCTGCCAAACACCACAAAAATAAATAAAAATCAGTATTTCTATACACAAGATAGTTCAGTATTAGACCCAGTGTGTTGCCAAGTGTATACATTTACAGTGGTCTTTTTTTAAGCACCATTTTTATTTTACCACAAATATGTTCCTTATGTGTAACTTCCTCTCCTTCCAGACAGCCACTTCATCCGACCTATCCTCCTCATACATCAAAATCTTTACGTCATGTTTCAGAAATCATTTCCCTTCTGACAGGAAATGAAGCTGATATAATTATACAATTGAACTACACAAATGAAACAGACTACAAAGAATAACAACCTGTTAAATAGTACCACTGTTTGCTGTAAAATTACTTTGAACTAATACTTGCACACCTTGAATGTACATGAACCAGTCTCGAAACCATACGAGGTGCGATCGGAAAGTTTCCAGACTGCGCGTATAAAAACCCGTACACTTATCTCAGGTATTAAATTCATCCATCACCCTCGAAGTAGCTCCCCTGGGAGTGAACACAACGATCCCAGCGCCACTGCCAAGCCTGGAAGCATCCCTGGAAATCTTTCTTTGTCAGCCTGTCAAGCACCATCTGCGATTCTTCCAATCGCACCTCGTATCACACATCTTCCAGCATATCATTTGGGTTTTTACATTTTATATTCTCTCGTTTTAAACGGTTTTCAACATGAATTACTAACTGAACTTCCTCTTTGTTTTAAACATAAACCATACAAAAAGGAAAAGACAGCAAAAGCTGTAGGAACACTGACTTTCATTTCTGTAATTCAAGGAGAACACTACGCTTGCTTAGAAGAGAGAAAACACACTAAAATCACAATGTAATAAATTTAACATATTCACATCAGGGTAGGTAAGTTACCAATGTGCTGCAGCTGCAATTTTCTAGAGTATGACAGAAACATTTATGAATTACAGGCAGTGATTTGGATATATTTTCAAAAAAAAACGAATTTAGACTGTGATGTATGTACAGTGGTGATGAGATAAAATATGTAGACATCAGAAACCTGGTTGCCATATTGCTCAATGGCATGAACACAGTTTTATATCTTTTAAAGAGACTAATTAATCACTGCCTCATGTTCAATTTATTGAGACAAGTGTTCTTTTTGTCACGCCAACATGTCAGCTTCATATTTACCTATCAGTAATGAAATTTATAAAAATTAAATTAACTACATGCACTTTGGAAATGGTTCAACACTGCACCTATTTGTGGAATACTGTTACATGTTATACAATGTTAAAGAAAGTTCATTTCTCAATTAGGTAACTATATTAGAATGACACGGTCCCGCGCCGTAGCCGAGCCACGGATTTAATTTAATTTAATTTTATTAGAATGACACAGTGCGACTAGGCAACCTCTCAAATGAGTCTCCTATGTTCCAAGTGGACAGAGTGAGAGCCAAAAATGTGGGGAACCGGTTTCTTGATGTGAATGCGTTACAAGGAAAAATTCTGTAGAGTAAATTAAAGGGAACAAATGCTGGTATACAAAAAACAACTTTTACCACTGCCAAAAAACTATACTTTATGAGACAAAGAATACATAGGTGGATAATCAGGAACTTGCCATCTTCTGCATCGTAATTAATCTTCTTTCTCCGAGTCTGCAAAAATTACCAGAATATTGAAGGAGAATTGAATCCTCCTACAAATGGATATTTGCTGACTAATAATGTCTATTTCAAAACCAAAATATTCAAGCAGAATACAATTTCATATTTATGTCTCTACATAAATATGACATAACAGATGTTCTAAAGCTAAGATAATGTAAATATACATGCAACATATGCACTTGTTCATCCATACAGACGTATGCATACTAGGTGAAGGAATGTTGTTCATTTACATGAAAATGTAGATGTCTACTTATTGTAAGGTTATATAATATTTTATGGAATTATAGAAGTTCATGACCATACTGAACCTGGTGAACATGACGCAATTAAGATATAAAATGGGTACAAAATTCAACACATCTCACATTTATATTCTGCCAATGCAAGTATCCTGGTTTTGTGCATATGTACGCCTTTATCCAGAACCAGACTGAAGATTGTGTGGCTCGTAAGAAACTGCAATAGTGCATGCAATACAAAGCCTCACCTAGATCTTCACATACACCAGTCACTGTGCCATAGATCTCAAAGCCAGACAGACTGAGGTAATGTGTTTGTCCAGAAGCATTCTTTCCTGTCTGCTGCAAGCGAATATGACGCCAACCCTGCACTTCCTCTGTTGGAGGTTCCAATGGCCAAGACGATGTGCTTCCTGGTTCATTTAAAGAACCATCATCCATATGTGTGTACAATGTGGTCCAGTTCAAGCCATCCTTTGAAACCTACATGAATATAGTACAAATTTCATACATTTCTTATTCCAATGCTGCCACCCATAAAAATGAAAGTCCATTTGTTTTCTCTTTTCTACAAGGTGGCACTGAAAACAACTGATACTATATTTTAGCATAGTTTAAAAATTACTTAATTAGAGTAAATTCTCATTTTGGATTATCATTGCTCTGTCACTATGCAAATTATCCCTTTGCTGCAATAACTTCTAATTCAAGTAGTCTAGAATGCTCCATAATATATTAACATTTTAGTTTTTCTGTTGTATCTTGCTATTGCTAGAGAATGGCTAGTTATGGTTTTGAAAGCTTCACACTGAAAAGTGCTTAAAAGCAAAGAATTACAAATTGTTTTTCATATGTTTAAAGTATGAATTCTGGAAGAAATATAAAGTTAGGGTATAAACAAAACAATATAAACTCCGTGTTGCCTAGACCACGGCCTTGCCCAACACAAGTTATAAATTCGGGCACCGCCGGGAATCGAACCCGAGACCCCAGGGTTACAAGGCCAGCGTTCTAACCGCTAGACCACCGTGGCTATCCATACTACTTAGCAGTCTATAATGAACCAGAGACACCTGCCACCTACCACTATGCAATGAATGCTCTTGCCTAAAGAGCAATAGCATTTTCTACTTGTAACATCAGACAGGCCACACAAAGGACTGTTCCACAACAAAGCACTCTGAATTACTATTATACAAACTGTAAGACAAGCAATTCAATTATAAACAAAGTTTGCTCCACTGGCTGAATGTTTTTAAAAATATCTAATAAATCACCCAAAAATGTTGCAAACTTAACATTTTTGGGAATGCTGGCAATACATCAAAAGTACGGTAACAAAGAAATTAACAACAGATTAAATTATGGAAATGCTTGCTAACATTCAGTTCAGAATCTTAAAACATAATATACTATATGTGGTCTTCTGGATTCCGACACTATATAGTCTTTCTTGTATGTGGTTATCATCATTCCACCAAGATGCTGGGAACTATCTAAAAAAAAAAAAAAAAAACTGCAAAGCATCACAATCTGGAAGACCAAAATCCATATCAGATCTAAAACTTCTTGACGATGGTGAAGAGTCAATTGAATAAAAATTTACTTGGATATTATCCATCGTCTAGTAATAAAACGTAAAACGACGTTTCGGAGATGGGGCTCTATCTCCGTCTCCGAAACGTCGTTTTACGTTTTATTACTAGACGATGGATAATATCCAAGTAAATTTTTATTCAATTGGCCAAAATCCATAGTTTAACCACCATGCCATTTGGTACAGGCTTCCAGGTGTGAATGTGTTAATGTAAATCAAAAGTCATAAGCAGGTGCCCCAGTACAATGATTACTCCAGGAAGGGGCAACAGGACATTTACTTGAAACAGCCAGTTGCGGAGAGCCGACCGTCCATATCCCCTGGCATGCCTCAGTGTATATGAACTGGGCAGCACCCACAGACCAAGATCAATGGCAAACCATGCTCGTTTGTCATCGTTGGTGTGACAATTGAGTGCTGAAGAATCACGGCTTAAGATGTCCTCCAGGCGTCCATACGGCAAGTTTCGACCATCAGATGATGTCACCATCACCAGTCCATACTGTCCTGGATTTACCCATTCAGGCGAAGTCCTGAAAAATTTCATTACAATAAAATTCTGAATGTCATAACATGGGAAAGCATTCATAATATTCTAATGCAAATTGCATGATAAACTCTGATCCAATTTTATATTTACTTGTACCCGCTAATTTAATTACACCTTTTGGAGTTTGCACTTTTCACCTAATATTAAGGTGGCGATTGACTTGTAACATTTGCATGTAATGTAACGTGTTACAAATCGAGCATTACACAAGTGAAGACAGCGAACGGAGCCGCTCACGCTCGCGGGCGCTCCATCGTGTTGTCGGTTTTTTCGCGAATCCCTTTGAGTGTTACATTACAAGTCAGTCAGTCAGTCGAGCGGCGTCGTAACGAGCATTCACGAGTTCTTTAGATAAGAGTAGCGTATTAAATGAAACAAAGATAACACAACCTCCACGTCCGACATATTAAATGAAATGAATGGAGCACACACGAGCACAGTCGAGCCGAGCGTTCAAAACGAGCATTCGATACGCCTCACCAGTTGTGGTGTAATGTAACATGCTCGCCGCGAATGTTACATTACGAGTAAATGTTACAAGTCAGTCGCCACCTTTAGTCTTTCCTCAAAGTTACAGTTTCACAGCCACATAAAACAACAGGTAAAATTAGTTTTAATACTTATGTTTACTACTAAGACACTAAAAATGCATCAATACAACCTGTAAAATAGTATACAGACACTGGTGCACTTACTTTCCATTGGTCCCTATCCAATAAATTATTCCATTTTCATCAAAGTCATGTTGATGCCTGAAGGTCAATTTTTGTCCTTCCTTTAATTTGCGTACAAAGGCAAATGTTGAGCGCTCATAGTCATACCACTGTTTTGCTACCATCTTGAGTAAATAGCGTTCCAACTGCACAACAGTGCTGAGAGGTTCCATCTTAAGGCTGCGACCTGTGCGATCAATTAATGAGCTATCGCCTGGAGCCTTCTCCAGCCTGAACCTTAACCGTCGAGTCAGGATCTGTAACAAAGAATAGAAATGTGATGTTGGCTTCTAACTAGCCTACAATAAAATTCAGCATGATGTACACAATCCAGTTGTAATATGTCTTCTGATATCATTATCAATTCCTTATAAGTGAAAATGGTGAGAGTGAAACTTAATATTTGTATGATAATTACTAGTTTGATTCCAACCACTAAACCAACAGCGAAAATACAAAGACAAGAAAAGAAGAAATATCTGCCACTATAATGACAACCAATCACCAAAGAACAGTAGTAGAGGGAGCTCCCAAAATGTTGTGTACTTTAAATTTATGTGTGTCAATGGACAATGGTAAATATGTAATGATTTGGTAGGAGGCAGAAGGTACTAACTATGCCACCATTCACCTACAGAGACAGAGAACCACACAAATTTTGGAATCAGGATAGCCAGTAAACTAGCTGAGACTTGAAATAGGCACTTTCTAAATGCAAGTCTGGAGCATTACATTATATCCAAATACAGTGAAACCTCGATGCATCGTTTTCGGCGGGGGTGGGAAATAAAAACGATGAATGCGGGAAAACGATAGATGCGGGAAAGCATTAAAAACTTAAAAAAAAACAATGTTTCTCTTTCAAAGTTACTTCTTTTTACCAAAAAAGTCTTTAGTGGACAACTGGTTTGTCGAAACTTTACGTTTTAGACCAAACAGAGCACTTTCCACGTTCAAAATGTTTTCTTCGTCACGTTCACTAATATTAAGCGCATAAAAGAACGACTTCACTTTCGCCAATGCAGCGTGTGCTTCGGCAAAACTCGGCAAAGCTTTGGGCTCGCATTCGTCGTCTTCCTCTTCCTCACCGCTCCAACCCCCTTTGCGGACAATAACAGGAAGAATGGAAATACTATTACTGCCGAACTCAACGAAACGTAGCTGTAGAAGACCCTGAACTGCTGGAAACAAGATGAACCAGAAGAATAAAAAGTGCTGCCAGCCTTTCCTTTGTACTTATAATAAAAGCATTTGTGAAGAAATTCACACTGCACATGCCATCTGGCATCGCTGGAACGAAATATGAGTGCACCCTAATTAAAATCGTAAAATTTCTGACAATGAGCACCGCCATTCACTCCAACTATCACCCCTGCACCGCTGACCCTCATTCCAAAAGAATGTGCTGGTTGGGCGACATAACAGGTTACCGCTACTGTTTATTCCAAAAACATTGTGCGTCTTTCGGTATTAATTTATCTCTAAACCCAGCATTTTAAATTCTCAGGAACGATCATTGCGGGAAAATTGTGGGCCGGGACTACGATTTTTGAACGATCGATGCGATAAAACGATAGTTCGAGGAACGATAGAAGCGGGAAAATGTAACATTATTTTATATGGGATGTATTCGGGACCGAACAAAACGGACGATGCATCCGGGAAAACGATAGTTCCGGGAACGATGGATAGAGGTTTCACTGTATATATAATAGAACCAATAATATGTATAAGCCGCAAGTAAATAAATCAGTATGTGAAAAGGTAGCCTGTAAAGGAGTATATAAGCTGCAATTGATATTTCAGTCACAATTTTATATACAAAATACTAGATCACAAGTAAATGTCAAAATAACAGTTTTATGAAATCAGTTGCTGTAAGTTGGAGAAAAACTGAACTCTGCTATTACATATTTTATTAAACAAGCCATTCTCCCATTACAACGCACAGTAGTCAAGAGTCAAACGTGCCTGAAGTGAAAGGTGCTAATGCAGCCTTGAGAAAAATAAGAATGGGGACTCTTGCACTGAAAATCCCAATGCCAGTTATACCACCTACTGGATTCTTCTGGCTTCACTTGGTGGATAACTCAAGCAAAGCCCTTTATTTAAAAATATGTCAGAATATTAACCTTTTACAACGACCAAATTCAGAAAGATTTTTGAACGACAGCAGGAAGAGTGTGAATACAGCACTAATGGGAGAAAGTAAAACAATGGAGAAGGCTTTTATTATTTTACTATAAGATGACCCACTTATGTGGAAATATCAATGGATGTCAAAAAATATTTTATAAACATAACAGTTCTATCTCCAGGATCCAGGAAAGTAAATCATGAAATAGTGTTGGGCTGATACCCTAATTATCAGTTTACATGAAGAATTCCTCCCAGAATGACTTGTATTTACACACACTACTTTTCTTCTGAGCCTCATTACCTGCAGGCCATATCCAGAGCCTGGTGTATCGTAGAGATATACTGGAAGTTTCTCAATGGACTCCAGAACAGAGACCAGCTTGTGTACCAGAATGGCTGCAGAGTTCATATTTCCATTATCACCATCCTTCTCCTGCAAAAATACAAGGTTAAACATTAATCACAACATTCTATACTCACTGGCACATGATTTTCCAATAACAAACTATCTGCGTATACCAGTGTCTTCAACGGATACTTCGCAGTTATTCAACTGGTCAAAACATTCCTTGCTGAAGTTCCATGGTCATGAACATAGAAGCTCAGCACTGGAGTCTATCCTGAGCCAGTTAAAGCCATTTCACATAACAACCTATTTCTCTACAATCCAAATAAAGTTGTTATCCTCTGTAAGCCTAGGTCTCGCAAAGCATTCCTTTTGTCAAGGTTTTAAAATGAGAACTTGCATTTGTTTTCTTTCTGCCACGTGTGCTTTACTTATCACCATAATAATATTAGATGAATTGTACAAATTATGATACTCCTCTAGAAAATAATGATGTAGAAATAAATTTGGGAAAAAAATGCATGAGCACATATAAAATCTGAAAAACACCACAGTCATCGAAAAAGTTCTTTAATTTCAAAATCTGAGAATAAAAACGCTCAAGACAAACTTAAGAAGTGAATAAATCGCAAAGCACTCTGAAAAATATTTGAACCTAACATCTAAGAAATGGACAGTTATGGGGTTAACAACGAGCTTGATGTTTATAAAGTCACGTAATACTAATAGGATTCAGTGATCCCATGAGCTATGCTGGCGGTAGCATAGCTACTGGTAAGGCCTCCCTAGCCAGATTGGTCGAGGGGGAGAGGTCAGACTAAGACAGGTACCCTGGTCCTCCAGGTTGGGGGTTGGTCGCAAGGCTAACAACCTTGCACCATAAAAAGGAAGATGTTTTTCGAAACCTCAATCAAAGCCTCGGACAGACAGACCTAACAGAGGACCGAATGGAAGAGGAGAATTGAGGAGGCCATGGACCGAATACGGACCGGAGAGCCATAGTAGAAGAAGAATACTAATAGGATAGTGATATCTAGGAGGCAAAAATGCAGACATGTAGCTCAGACTAGTATTCAAACTAAACTAACTAACTAACTAACTAGATGGCTTACCGAACCCGAAGGTTCATCACCGAATTAACCAAAGCCCTCCACCGGACCCTGTCCTGGGCCAACAAAATCCAGTCTCCTTCAACTCCTATCTCCCATAGATCCCGCCTGAGATTATCCTCCCATCTACGTCTAGGTCTCACCAGCGGTCTCTTCCCTTCAGGTTTCCCAACCAGTACCCAGTGCACACCTCTTGTCCCATCCATGCGCGCTACATGTCCCGCCCATCTCACTCTTCTCGACTTAATCACCCTCACAATACTGGGGGAGCAGTACAGATTTTTAAGCTCGTCATTGTGCAGTTTTCTCCATGCCCCATCGTCTTCCCTCTTAGGCCCAAATATCCTCCTCAACACCTGATTCTCAAACACCTGCAATCTGTGTTCCTCCCTCTGAGTGAGAGACCATGTTTTGCACCCATACAAAACAACAGGCAAGATTTAAACACTTCAGAATATAGCTACATAGAAAACTGATGAACAGGGAGGATAATACTAGGATGGATCTTAGGGAAGCAGGTTGTAAGGGTATAAATAAGGTAGGCAGAAATGATTCAGGATATTGTCCAATAGGTTTTGGAAAGAGCCATGTTAAAAGCTTCAGTTTGTAGAACACAGAAAGTCTGTAGTGGGTCCTCACCTTGAAGCAGCTCTTGAAAACGCGAACCCTTTGTTTCTGCAGCTTGCTGCTTTTGTTGCTGTGCAAGCCCTCATCCCAGCAGCTGGTCGACAGAAGCGACAGTAATGCTTGCACCAGTCCACTACTATGCAGTTCATATGCAGAAACAACACCCTCCTCCTGAAGCAGCTGAGTCAGCTCTTCCAGAGCTCCCTGCAGGATCTCACGCCACACCATAAAACTCTCTCGGTTGTTCATGTGCTGTAAAAACTCTCTGCTACAGAGTGCTCACAGGTAAAGGTCAAGTCCCTATTCTTAAGTACCAAAACATGAATGAATAGAAGGGGAACATAGGACTCATAATCTCAGTACCACAATAAATTGAGTGGTAAGTCTCAAACTCCAATCACATCACCTCTGATGTGAATGACCTCAGTCGTACAGACATAGAACTGTGGAGCAGTCAAATGATTTAAAAAACTTCTATCTTTATTACTTGATCCACTAATTTTATAATTTATCCTGATTACTGCCTTTCAGTGTATTTTCAATTTGTATGTTGCTGTATCTGTTAAGAAATTCCTACAAAACATCATATAAAAGTTCTTCACGTTTTTAAGTACCCACCACAAGTGTTATTTGCTACTTAACTACATAATCAAGTAAATTTTATACTTGCATATATGCCAAGTAGAAGGTGCATAGGTATTTTGTGTTACATCTTTACAGTTGTAACAGAACATCTAATCTAAATTTTTACACAATACAGTCAATACTCCTACTAATATCTGAACTTAACTGACTCATCCCACAAAATTTTCCTCATTTATATTTGTTCCTATATTACCAGCTCACTGTGTGATAAAATAAATTATTATTCAAGTGTTTAAATCATAATTATGGTAAGCTGTACTTAACAACTTCTACGAGGCGCGTCCACAAAGCAAGTTTCCCACTCGTCCCACAGCTAGCAAACCTTACATTGGGCGAAGCGACTGTGCGTACGTGATAGAGCAATGACGTAGCATGGCGCATGCACTAACGGTACTTCCCGCGTTCTCACAGTAGCATCGTTGCAGCTGTTGAAGATGGAGGTTCTTATTCCAGCTCCCGCCGACTGTGAAGTGCGGTCAGTGATAACGCTAGGCCGCACACGGCTCGACGGACAGCAAGTCTCCTGCAGGAGTTTAGCTGGGAGGTGTTTAATCATTCACCCTCCAGCCCGGACCTCGCTCCCAGTGATTTCAATCTTTTCCTACACCTCACGAAATTCCTGTCCGGTCAGCGTCAGCGTTTTGAGAATGACAGAGAGGCGGAGATGGTTGTCACACAGTGGTTCCAATCCCAGGCGGCAGACTTCTACGACACAGGTATTCCAAAGTTGGTCCCACGGTATGACAAATGTCTCAATTCCGGTGGCGAATATGTTGAAAAATAGCTGGACACTTGCTGTATCTGTTGCAATAAATATTTCCATGAAATTGTGTTTTGTTTCTGTAAACGGCCCCAGGGAAACTTACTTTGTGGACGAGCCTCGTAGATATAACATCTCTGCTACAACAGGCTACATGTTAATTTTGATTGGACAACTGTTACGGCAACAGTCATGCTTCTAACTATTCTGTTACCTGCTTCTGGCATGCCCGTTCAATCTGTGCTACAATGTTTCCAAGTTTGGCTACAACTCCTCGTGGTTGAGCTTGCGCAGCTTTAAAATACTTCTCGTAAATTTCTTTTGCCTGAATTTTCACCTGAAACAGAAACACTGGTATCAATCTCTGCTGGACAATGGGATGGGCATGAATGACCATGTAATATAAAAATGATGCAACCCTCACCTTTTGCTTCATTGCTTCTATCTTAGAACGGAGTCGTTTACCACGTTTACCAGTCCATCCTGCTGCAAACTCAGGTCCCAATGAAGTCTCAGCGGTGAAGGAGTGTTTGGTACCACGATTAGATTCGAAGATGAATCCTGGAAGATCCTCACGCAAAATTGTAGCTTGCTACAGAGGTAAAGAAACTGCATGTACCAGGAATGCTTTTGCTTTCAGTCAATAAGAAAGAAAAAACAATTTACAAAGAGAGAAATGCAGGGAACAAAGAAAAAAAAACAGAACAGGGAACTGATGAAGGATAAGATGATACAAATTATTCTGTACCTGTTGCCCATCAGAATTATGAATGTGTAGCTCTCCTTCCTTGCGACTTGCCAGTGCCCAATTTCCCACAACTAATCGAGATGGTCCAGGATGAGAAAGGATTGGCTGACTAGGAGTGTTGGGCTTCACTTGTGCCCTAGCTCGCTGGAGTTTTTCCAGGAACTCTCCTCGGTTTTCTGAAACAGGTATGTCAAGAAAAGCACTAAAACAAAAAATAACCTTGAAAATATAGTAAAATAGCAAGTAGTTAACAGGAATGGCTGATTTTGAATGTGCACTCATGTATAAAATAATATTAAGAACAGAAACAAAATTCTTCTTGCTTCAATAACTTTAGTAAATACTATTCATTTGTTTTGCAATAAACAATTTATTTTTATTTTGAAATGCCTATTAATGCATTTCAGCCTTACCAGGCCATCATCACGTTTATACTGTTTGGTTCTCAACAATATTGGAGGGTAGTTGCAGCCCTAGAGTAGAAAGAAATGAAACAATCCCAACACTCGTAAATGAGACACTTCTGATGGCCTATTAAGACTGAAATCTGTATATAAAGATAAGTGGCAAATGTGAATACAGGCTGTTGGTTTAAAAACTAATAATAATAATAAACTGAAGTATTAATGTTCACAGTTCAGAACTAGAACTATCAAGACCAATCATCCATCACCTTTCAAGTTGAAAATGAATACCAAATCTGTACACTCACATGATAACGCTACTTATAAATACATAACAGCAACACACTACAAAACAATAAAATATTATTACTTCTTTAAATGTGTTTGATTTATCCATCATCTATTTCTTAAGAATCCTTAAAATTGTAAAACCTCAAAAAAATCACATTTCAAAGGATGGATCTTCTGATATGTGATCAGAAATAATGTGGCCTATCAGATCCAACAGACTCCTAACAAAGGAAAATCCATCCTTCAAAACACAGTTAATTGTTACAGCTTAAAAAACACATGATGGATAAGGCCCTAAACAAATAAAAAAATGAACATAATACTATTGCCAAAAACATTCATTCATAGAAGAACTTAAGAAAGCCTAGGCTATCCACATCACAGGGTTAGTCCTCTCACTCACTCATTACGAAAAAACTCTGACAGCAAGAGTGTTATACATAGCAATAAATTAACTTTCATGCATTCACTGCAGAAAGTAAACAACTGAAACTCATGTATTTATACATACCTGAGTAACAATTTTTACCAAAGTCCATTAATATTAGCAACAAATGGAGGTTTGAACAAAAGTTTACAAGTTTAAATATGTTACTGTTCACAGTTTCATGGTTATGTATGTTACATGCTGATAAAAACCGAACACAATGCACATTATTTTAAGCGTACTAAGACTACGTCAGTTTCTGCATATATACAGAGTCTCAAGTCCTATTAAGAACCAGCAATGACAACACACTGTCAGAATTCCTTAAACTAGTATTCCTTGTTCAAGCACACAAAAACTAAAAACATACTATGATGGTAACCAAAAAATTAACCCCTTCAGGTCCTTTGTTACACTCTGTCCAACAATCATATTATTACTGTTAACTAATGGCGCGTAAGATGCGCCATGATTTTAGAACTAAATACTTTTAACAAAATGTTGGTAAATAGTGGTATACAGTGCTCATTTTAAGACTTATCTGTATTATAACCAAAATATGAAGCAAAAGTGCACAAATATTTTGAGAATACTAGTAAAAGAGATTACTAGTCACACAGTTCAATATTCAGGCTTCTTCATTAATAATTCAATGTCAGCAAAATTTCATGGGGCCCCTTTTTTTTTGTAAACACCAGCAAATGAGGTTAAATAAAGTTCAAGAAAATTGGTCCTAACATTCTGTCAAACACTCAGAAAATCTCTATCCATTCGAACAGTTTCAAAGTGCATAATGACCGCTCATCCCCATCTGGTGCTGAGGTCAAGAATAAGTAGGGGCAGTAACACCCTAAAAACATGCAGCAGGGCAGTTTCACTTATATATAAATGGGAACGTAGAAGGGTATCATTTAAGAAAATATGTGGACCTCAAAGGGTTAAAAGAAACCAAGGCACAACATTAAAAATACTAGGAAGAGGATGAAACACACATATGGTGTACTTACCACCCACTACAGTCTAGTGATTTAATCCAATTACATCCCCACTATAAATTATAGTATGCATATGTTTCAATTTTACCTCTAGTACAAATTTTTTTGTATTAGCTTTAAAATTGCTCTTACCTTCTGTGGTAAGTGTTTCAGTATTTCTTCCTTTTCCTATTAAAAAAAGGGGGTAATGTGTCAATATGTATCCACAGGTCAGTGCTAGGAACGTAAAACACAGCAACACAAATTAAACACTCCATAACAATGATAAGGATATGGGAAAAAAAACAGTCTCAGCAACCTTGATGCTAGACTTTCAAACAATTCTTCTCTTCTTAACTTTTGGAGTTACCAGTATACAGAATGTACCATTTAAAATGCAACCCCAAAACAACCGCATACTGTACATTTTTACTCCAGTTTCCGTGGATCTCCCCTCCCCGGTCTGTTGCCTAAGAACACTAACTCTGACAGGTGGACCTCTTGTGTTCATGTCCCTGAAGAGTCCCTTGTTTTTGTTTTTTTCAAATAGTGTTTTGTCTGACGGCAGGTCCATATGACCAGGATCCTTCCATCCTTTTCTCGGACTGGGATCTGTTCATATACGTTCTTGGCAGATGATCCAGAAGTGGTTTGCCATTGCCTTCTTCTGTGTGTGAATGGAGTAATTGTTGGGATGCCACGGAGAAACCGGGGAAGCCCCCGGAGGAAAACTCCGTGTTGCCTAGACCACAGCCTTGCCCAACACAAGTTATAAATTCGGGCACCGCCGGGAATCGAACCCGAGACCCCAGGATTACAAGGCCAGCGTTCTATTATACGCAGGATCACCCAATGTAAAAGACTCTAAACCTCACCATGACACTTGAGCCAAGGTCACCCTGGATGCTAAGCCTATCAGATGCACAAGAGCTGCACAGGTGGTAAACATGGTGTACTCAAACAGAACGTGTTTATTCTAGAACATTACTGATGTGGTGGTTAGGGTTGTTTCAAATGGAACATTCTGTACACCAATATGTTGCATAACATAGTAAACTGAACGTCTATAATATGAACCTCAAGGACAGATGGTTCATATAAACCAATAATTCTAAATAAGGTATTAAGATATTGTAGGTGCGTCATATTGTAATTTATTTAAATAGTATTAAAAATATATTAAAATTGGCCGTCAATCACAATATAAGATAATTAAAAGATTAAAATATCATTTTTCGTTCCTTATCGAGTACTCGATTTACATGTAAATAAATAAGGTACTAAACTGCATAATTGTAAAAACCAAGTCTTGCTAGATTCCAGGCACAGAACACTGATAACCTCAAAATATTTTCAGTCATAGTCATGTTTTTACCTAACCTAGTACCCTGAAAAAGCTACAACAGATTGCAATGGAGTCTCTAAAGAATAAACATGAAGTTAGCAAACAACATCAGGTTTCAGACATAAAATTTCTGCAAATGCTAAAACTGTAATATAAGAGATATTTAATTATGTAGGTAACAATTTAAGCTGAAGTAAAGATATTAATGCTAATATGACACTACATAATTTCAAAACACATACTGAATAATAAAAATAGTGTATCAAATTTGGAAAGAAACTGGTCACATTTTAAACCAGCTCTGGTATACACATTTGAATGCAAAACTTTTGGTATAAATTAAACAAGACAAGGCCAGAAGGATTAGAGATATTCTTCTGTGAGCAGTGGCTGGTTCCAAATAATTTATCGTAAGTATAATGCAGATATATGAAATAAACTGCGGACAATTTCAATAAATAACAAGAGTAAGAGAATACAAAGTATAGGAAGGATAAAAAAACATGAGGAAGGGAAGACCAATGACATGTATGGATAAACGATGCAGGGGCAGGTTTCAATAGATGAGGTTTGAGGTTATCTCAGAACTAAAAATGTCAATGTTGAATTGGGTTGTGACATGATGTGAATGCCAATGTCTAAGAGGAGCACGCTGACTCCATTTTCAGGGCTGACTATAGAGGCAATATATTTCTCCAATACATGAGTACCTACCTACGAGACCACACGGTGTCACAACCCAGAACATCAACATCAACAATTTCAAACTGTGATGTCATTAAGACTGGAGCAACTGTAACAGGAAGATCTGAGAAATTACCGACTGAACTGTACTGTATTAACATACTGAGTATTAAAACTACCATACTTGCTTGTGAATTAGACATACTCTGCAATTAATTCCCATACAAACAAACAAACAAAGTGCTATAATTTTATGAAGGTCACTTGAGTTTTGACCATGCAAGAAACGTATATGTCGCCTCTCACAAACTTAAATCCCAGAGGAATGTCCGTTAGTTGACAGTTACGCTTACGACAGGTCAGGTTTGGTATGTTTGTGTTTAGCATGGCAAAACTAGTGACCATAAAAACACCAGTTATGTGCCATAGATACTACGAAACCTAGAAAATAAAACTGCAAGTCAATCAAGAGCGGTCAGTCAGTCACAATTCTAGGTCCATATCAAAAGTCCTGTATGATATTGCATCAACAAATCTCATGGTAATTAATGGTTAATGCTTCCTCACTGATCTATAGCTACACAGCTACCACCTCCCCGTCTGTAAAATTTATTTGAGTAACTAACAAATATTAAGAAAACACGTAATTTTGAATCACCAGAATCAATACAGCAAGGAAGTTCAGTACATGAAGATACAGCTGTGTATAAAGGAATTCCATAACACCTTGGTTTAACAAGTTATCAAAACTATACAGTATGACTTCTGTGTAACTACATCAAAATGACCAAAATTATTTTGTTTATTATGACAATCTCAAGTTATATCTGTATCTCAACTGAACAGACTACACAGAATTGAATGAGATCAGATGATGACCATCAAAATGGTGAAAAAAGTAATTAATTTGGAAAGAGACATTGACATCCTATTCGGAGACACTACTGCCATTTGTGTGGACAAAGAGACAAAAACTGTGAGATGATTCAAACTGGCCGTCTTCTGAATTCCATAGCTTCAGCATTACCATTACAATGAAGTGCTGTGTTTTATGTGTTAAGTACTAAAATTAAGAAGCGTTAATTTTCAAAGTACAACAAATGCACAAGCAAACATGATACATACAAACTCTTAACACAGTGTAAAACACAGGCTTGGTAATCACTCAAACTCTGGCGACGTAACTCTGTATAACTATGCTTTATTTACACGAGCTACAGACACCTGTAACACTTACCAGAGCTATCAGTTCCTCCTTCGGGGCTTCCGCTAGAGTACATTGTAGCAAGTTTTCCATCCAGAATAAATCTGAACCATCCATTGCTACCATTAGACAGCTCAAGGGCTGCTGCATCTGACCAGATGTACAGGCAGTCACGACCACGACATATGCACCAGTCCCGCCAATGGTACGCTTTACCAGGCAACATCTCCCTAGCATCATCCAGCAATGGTTCTTGTTCATTTTCCTCCTGCACACAATCACATAACAATACCTACTGTATGCTAAAAGGACCCAGAAGTTCAACCCTGATCATTTCATCATTTCATTCACCCCTTATACTGACAATCTTACCTCCTTATAATATGTATTCATATTAGCAACCTATTTTATTGTCAGTCTTTCAAGTAACTATATTTCAAGCAGTTCTTCCACCAATGTACAGTATGGATTCATGCCTCTCTCATCCAATGTACATGACCAGAATCCACAGTTCCTGTCTTAATTTGTATGACTACCATAACACCGGCTCTGGGGCTCACCCAGCCTCCTCTACAATGGGTACCGGGGGTCCTTTCCCGGGGGTAAAGCGCGGCCGGGGCGTGATGCTGACCACTCACCCCCATCTAGTGCCGAGGTCAAGGAAGAGAGGAGCTATACCTCCACTCCCCCCCAAACGCCTACATGGTGTATAGTGGGACAAACTTTACTTTTACTTTTACCATAATAGTGACAGACAAGTAATGCTCCTAGTATTGTGTGCAGTAATACATGCAAACACCTGCACAAGCCATTTTAAGAAAGTAATTCGCAGGGAGTAAGATGAGAGAGATCATTAATAAAAATGGCATAATCTACTAATATTTCCTTAAGCCAGTAAAACAGACAATGGCAAATCTAAAGACCACTTGCATGTATAGTATCTTATGCACTGTATGTTTTTCGTTCATCCTCTCCTTTCCTTTCCATTAACCCAGAAAGTCGAAAGTATCCTGTATTATGCACTTTTAACAATATGCTGACTTACATTCTCATTTTTGCTGCGTTGCAATTCTTGGGTATCCTGAGGTCCTGCCAACTGTAGCACTTTGGAAAACACACCTAGCCGAGCGAAGTGATCCAAGAAGATGTCCTGCGCTTTTGTCATGAGATCCTGAATTATCTGCAGCACCATCAGATGTCCATCCTCATCCTCCTGCACAAAATTAAAAGAATTAAAAGTGGAGTTCAGAACAAAATACCACTACAACAACACAATGCTTAGCCTGACAGCTCACATCGGTGGTCCGATAAATTTCACTTCTTCATCTAATATACAATAAACTGGTTGGTTCACAGGAAATTAATGATGTATTAACTGCAAAGGTAACTTAAACGCAAAATTTCTCTGAACCATCCTTCATTCAACACAAAATTAATCCATTAAATAACCTGCACTTGACAATATATTTTGATTCTCATAATAATTCTCTTGTACAAATAATATCAAAGGACTGTTGAGAACTGCCAGCACAAAGGACTCCTCAACCTGAACTCTTCACCTGATATCAACAGACCGATTAAATTAAGATGGTTATGACAAAAGCAATACATGGAGGAAATATGCGATACATACAAAACTTTGATCAGAAAACTGCATGGGAAAATACCACTTGGAATACACAGAAATAAATTGGAAGGCAAAATTAAAGTGGGTTTAATGGTGTGAACTGGATTAAATTGAGTTCAATGACAGGCTTCTGTGATTAGGGTGACAAATATAAGAGTTCCATAAACACACTCAGCTTCATGATTAGCTAAATTATCAAATGTTTAAGGAAAACCTGATTTCAAGAAACACCCTAGCCTCCAAAACAGATGGAGCGGGTTGGTTGTAAGTGGATATGTCTTAGGAAGAATAGGAAAACTAAGAATTTGTATTATATGTGCAGCAGCCAAATGAAAACAAACTTGTGTTGATCAGTGTTTTGTTCTTCCTTCCTTACATTACACATTTCATAACTACATTAAAAGTGGTAGGAGGGAGCATATTGTCAGCAAGTACTTAGCCGAATTTGTATCGTTACCCAAAATAAAAAAATTAATTACAGATTAATGCATGCTCCACTCTTAACTCTGTAATATATCAGCCATCAAAGTTTTATGTGTTTCGTAACCAAGTAGAATTAATTTGTTTTAATTTAAAAACTGCACATCTGAGTCCAAGACTTGACTGTAACGTAATCCAGTGCCCAATCAATGGGTCTTGGGGCCTCTTTTCTTGATGATGATTCAGTGACAGCATGAAGTTGGCCACTCACCTCCAACTAATGACAAGATCTGCAGTATATGCTGTTCTACCTCCCTACTTTCCAAACACCTCCATGAGGTAGTTGTAAGGTACAGGGACTTCATATTTTACCTGTGTCACCATTCTAGTATTTTATAATTTTCTGGCATTTTTATCAAAGATGTTATGAGGTTATAGAATTGTTCACATAAAAATAAGAGCATGCAGGTATTGACAAAAAGAAACCACATAAAGTAATGTAAAGGTCTTCATGACATATTTAGCTAAGATTCTATGTAATATGCCCATTCCACATGCACGTCTCCCATGTGCTACCTTTCTACTCGACCTTTCAAAACCAAATTGTGTGTCCGGATCGTGGTCTTGTGGGTTACAACACCATGCAGTCTTATAGGTGGCTACCAATGTTTTGGAGGAACATACAGCCCCCATCTCCTGCCTCAAGATGGAGGTGACATATTATTCCAGAATAGTAATCACCTACATGAAAACACAGGATCATTACTCAGAAGAACAATATTAACATTTCCATTTTCATGTAGACCTCAGATCTCATAAAATTCTGTACCAATTTGTTTCCCATATATAAGGTATATACTTATTTCCCATACAATTTCATTAAGATGAAACTTAAATGTCATTAAACGTATGTTTCAAATGGATACCATATAAATGACTATTTCAAGCGAAATTAGGATTGTGAAGTCATCCCATTTCAGTACGTAAACAAAAGTCTAATACAATGGCAGCACTGTTGGAAGTTGGCAAATCCTGTTATGACATAACTTAGTAACAACATGTATAAACTATTGCTACTTTTCATAATTAATCATTAATTAATTAAATAAATACCACACATTAAAAATATTTTTCTGCACTAAGACATTTTTTTAAATGCACAATAAAAATATACTAAGAGAACATGGAAGGAAGAAATTACTGCTTATTTTAAGGCATTACCCGAGCATTTACAGAAAGTAACTGGGGACACCACTAGAAATCTTAGTCAGACTAAGAATTTAACTTGAAATTTACCAATACAAAGTGGGAGTGATAAATATAACATGAAGAAATATGGCCTATAATGTTTAAATTTTCATAATGTAAAACTCTACATTTCCTGTGCTCAAACACCATGTGAAAAAAAAAAAACACATAGGATACTGGAGGTAAAGTTTCACACATTCTTAACTTGGCATTAGATTGATGTGCGTGGTTATCATACACCTTATGACCAGTGATTTTTCAGAACATTCATAAAATCACACTTAATGTAGAATGGAATTTATAAGCTAAAACAAAATTCATGTGACAAACTTACTGTACGCTTGTGATACATAATTACATACTCAATTTTACCACAGTGTTCATTTCCTGCACTTTGTGCAAAACGTTAATAAAAATCGAGTACAGAAATTCAATAAAATTCAGAAAACACAACTATCTTAAAAGACAAAAACAACAACCAACTCTTCCGGAAGTACCACATCACAAACGCTTACTCATTGCCCTATATTTGAATAAAAATAAATGTAAAGCAAACATTAGACCTGGGTACATAGAATAAAGGTGACAGCCAGGTGGACAGACATTTGTAAATTATTATACAAAGTCAATCTCAAATTTTCTATAGAACAGTTTCAAAGGGAAGAATGCTACTGAATGTTATGAGGCGCAACTGTCTCTCGATTGATACTATGAAAAGCAAAACCTACTACTGAATTTGGAAATGTTTATTAATTTAAATAATATATTCTGTTTCTATTAATTATGACAAAATTAAAACATACCAGTTTAAGAAACTGTCCTCCCCTGCTAAATAATAATACCACCAGAATCATCAGATGAGCAGTAACTACGGACCACTAAGACTTCTGCGATAGTACCTGACCTCCTGTTTCAGAGCCAGCCATTATTTACAATGTGCATGCTAATAATGCTTACAATTAGAGCTTCTGGTTCTTTTTTAACCCTGGGGTTTAACTGACAGTATTACCAATATCAACAGTGCTGCCAGATCAAGTTAATTAACAGTTCAGAACAATGTTACTGACAAATCAAAGTACATTTAGCGTGCTCTGCCAAATATGTCATACCATTCAACATGGAACTGAGCCCCACGTGATAGGTCATCACGCAGATGTTAGCAGTCATCACACGTCAACAAACCAACCAATCACAAACACAACTGGAATAATTTACCGTCTTTATTATAAACTTGTCATGCAAGTCACGGCGTAGCGAATACCCAAGTCCTGGAGGTTTCCCACCAAGTTTAGGAACCAAACTGTAATATTTGGTGCCCCCATTGTGCTGTTTCGGGGGTGTAACATAGGAAATCTGTAAAACAGTAGCTTAGCATTACAAGGTAGCCATCGCATGCCACCACTCCATTTTATATTTCTTAGCATACTTTCAGCTCGTAACAAAAACAAAAGTTGTTTGTTTGTTTCTTGATTTACTAACGATGCTTTATCACCACAATTTATGTAGCACTGGACACCAAGATGATTATAAACAACAGAATTAGATGTAAATGGAATTGGTCATGACTTATTATAATATGTGCCTGAAGGAACTGAGGAAAGTCATGAAAACCTCAGACAGAACACCTCCTGGCTCAAATTCTAACTTCAGACCTCCATAATATGAAACAGAAATGCCAACATCTATATAGTGCTGTTAGATTTAAACAGTAAAAGTTAATTATGATATGATAGGCACAATGAAGTTTGTAGTGCGATAATCCTAAAACTGAGCCTAATAAGAAAGGCATTTTGTAAAATTAGTTCACTCTTTATGGAAGGCAAATGTATATGGAAACTCTAATTACTGGAAACAATACAGGCTCATTTATTTGATCCAGACATACTCAAATCCAAGGATGACACTATTTTTTGTCTGAAATTATGAATCAACTTTATAAATACATATATAGATTTTTTGTCTGAAATTATGTATCAACTTTATAAATACAAATATAGATTTTTTGTCTGAAATTATGTATCAACTTTATAAATACAAATATAGATTTTTTGTCTGAAATTATGTATCAACTTTATAAATACAAATATAGATTTTTTGTCTGAAATTATGTATCAACTTTATAAATACAAATATAGATTTTTTGTCTGAAATTATGTATCAACTTTATAAATACAAATATAGATTTTTTGTCTGAAATTATGTATCAACTTTATAAATACAAATATAGATTTTTTGTCTGAAATTATGTATCAACTTTATAAATACAAATATAGATTTTTTGTCTGAAATTATGTATCAACTTTATAAATATAAATATAGATTTTTTGTCTGAAATTATGTATCAACTTTATAAATACAAATATAGATTTTTTGTCTGAAATTATGTATCAACTTTATAAATACAAATATAGATTTTTTGTCTGAAATTATGTATCAACTTTATAAATATAAATATAGATTTTTTGTCTGAAATTATGTATCAACTTTATAAATATAAATATAGATTTTTTGTCTGAAATTATGTATCAACTTTATAAATATAAATATAGATTTTTTGTCTGAAATTATGTATCAACTTTATAAATATAAATATAGATTTTTTGTCTGAAATTATGTATCAACTTTATAAATACATATATAGATTTTTTGTCTGAAATTATGTATCAACTTTATAAATACAAATATAGATTTTTTGTCTGAAATTATGTATCAACTTTATAAATACAAATATAGATTTTTTGTCTGAAATTATGTATCAACTTTATAAACACAATTATAGATTTTTACAGGAAATTAAGATTTAGTTTACACTCCTAAAATCTGAAGATATAAGAACTTTGTACCTAAAAATACACTTTCCAAAAGACATTTACAGATTTTACAGCAAACTCAGGTTTATATGGTTTACATTCCCTCAGATCCAAGATATTAGAACTAAGTTGTTAATGTCTTAAAATTCATGGTCATATTCTGAAAGCTTCAAAGCTATTATGTTCACTTGTGTTGACTGCTTTTTTTTTTAAAAAAAAACACAAATCATATATGCATAAATCTTTACTGTACAAAGGAAATAATCTAAAGCTATAACATGTGGGGAATTGTAGTATCTTGTTCCTGATTATAAGTTAATATCTGCTATCACCCCAGTGCCTTGCACTGCACTCCAGATGATGTATGAATAAAAATCACTTTCCTACGTAATCTTATAGGAACGCAAATATTGTTCAGTAACACTTTCAAGAATAAAATTACATCAATCTGATATTGGATGATTAATAGCATGGTGACTAGTATAACCCAGTCAATTTAGGTGCACAAAAACTTGCAAAATGTGATTTCCTGCAATCATCGTTGATTACAAATTACAATTCGGCTCAACTAACTATGGACTATATTGAAAACCAGACATTATTTAATCTAACAGGCAGAGCACGCTAAAATTCATGCAGTTACAAGATATAACCAACACCATCTTGGTTTTGGTCCTTCTCCTGCAAATAAATAGTAATCCTTTCAGAGTCATTTTCCAAAGACACCACATAACAGCAGTGTTCAATCCTTTCCTTTTTGTCGGAAACAATTAAACTGGCCACCAACAGGACCGCCCACATCTTATGACTTACTTTCTCAGCACTTCTAAAAGACAGAGAGAAATTCTGACAACTCCTTTCTGAACCCAATTAAAGTCCCTGTAACCCTAATTTCAGCCATGAACTGTGCTGGGAAATATTGCTAATAGCAAAGACATTATAAAATTTAATGTTGATATAATAGTTGCTGAAGCTATTAACCCCTGGTTACAGTAGCCTCCACTCAGCCAAGGTTCAAAGCAGATACCTCTCAGATACAATTCTAGACCATAACCAGTACACTAAATTGCTTGAGTCTTACTATGTGAAGATGTCATTACATATTACACATACTCCAGATTTGGTTGTTTTTCTGATACATGTGTTCACAAGTAGACAATAAAGATGTGTGGTATAGAAATGAAACTGGAATAAATGCCTTTCAAAAATTCACCCCCGAACTATCAAGCCATCTTCTAACAGTTTCCATGTAATACGACTGCAAAAATTCTGAATTCTACGCAAAGTGATAGGTTTCCAAATGCGTATCTCACTGTGTCCTTTCAGTTCTTGTTAAAAATCTCATTGTTATGGACTGAAGAGTTCAAACAAGCTGTAAAGCATATTCTGCATTATGGACAGATTCAATATGCTAAAAATTCAAAGCATACAGCATTGATTTCGTGTTTGCATATGAGAAATAAAAGACTCAAAACATGTACTTCAACGGTGTTCTCGTATTTTCCAAATGCATTCTTTGCAAATCTGAAGTCTTATATGGTCCTATGTTCATATACTACAGACAAAATTCTTAATTCCTTTCATCATATTCACCTTAAGATGAAGTCTTGTAGCAGAAATTACAGCTAATATGTGTAATGCAGAGCAATGTTACAAAGCTATCAATCAACAGATGGATACAATATCTTTCTCTTGCATTCCATTACACATTTCAAACTCAGTACAACAGGAATAACTATATTTTTTTGGGAACAACACTTTTAAATTTCTAAATGGTGCAAAACATTATAATGTCACATTTATTTTCATCTTCTTCACCTTGTACTGTCACTGCATAGAAATACTTACATTCATTCATTCATTCATTCAACAATTTTTTATGAAAAACCCCAACACCAAATTTCATGACTTTTGGTGTATGCCTCACTGTTAAATTTAATGAAAACATATTCAGTAATTTCAGAGATAAACCTCCTAAAAAACAGATTCAGTACTCAAACTATGTATTTATTTTATGCACTTAATCCGTGGCGTAACAGCTCCAGAGAGCCAAAGCCGACTAGCTTGACTGCTGGCCTCACGTTCACATGCCTAAGCAGAGGGGAATGATCATCCAACCAGATATAGGGTGACGTGTGGTCAGCACGACGAACCCCCAGCCATTGCTAGTTTTCCTGACCGGATTACGCTACTCATTGTAGCTCCCCAATTTCCTCACGATGCTGGGTTGGCACCGGTCCCATACACTGGTCGAAAGCTCATGAGAAAATTTCTTCTCCCCCGAGACTCGAACCAGCGCGCATTCCGTATCGCCGGTCCGAAGCATGATGCCTCAGACCGCGCGGCTATGGCGCGGGACTATTTTATGCACTTAATGCATACAAAAGAAATGTAAGAAATTAGGTCCCAGATAAACAATAATTTCAAAGGTAAAAGATGCAGGAATGTATCCCAGTGACATTCACTTCCAATATTCTGCACCTACTGATTTACATACTGAAGACTCGCAAGTTTCTTTATTAGCAGCAAAAAGTTTGAAATGTTTCCCCAACAAATACATGTACACAAACATATAATGCAAAACGTCTATCAAATGACAATGTCTGAAACTGAAATTCAGTTTTATACAGCAATGTTTCAGAAAAGTTGGACAATTAGACAGAAGTTCCAGTTGCTCTTTCCATGCACCATGTAAATGCAATTTCTTACCTCATTGTCTAGAACTGTTGCAATCACTTCAACAAGCATGGTGCCAAAGTTGTAAGTAGGAGACTCTGGACTGCACGCTTCGACAAGCAAAGAAGGCTGGATATAATGCACCATTTTCTTTATGAGATTAAGACTTGCTTTCCTGTAATAAAAAGACAGATAATTAAGACTAAAATGACAAAGATCAAATGTGCTTCCAACTGAAATATATACTTACAACTTACCTGAGTAGAAACAATAAAAATAAAAAGCGCAATATTGTAACATCGAGATAACGATGAATGGCGCAGAATATTAATATTAATTTTAAATTTTAACATCAACAATTTAAAAGTTTGTGTATAGACTTGAATAATAAATATATATTTGAATAAAATTGTTTTATATGGCTATTTTAAGATTCTGTATCAACTGCTGAGTTTATATGTCATCAAATGCAATATGGGCGTATAACAATAATGAATGTGAACTCAGAAGAGCACGTGAAGAGAATTAAACAGATGTGGGCGCAATAGCATGATGATCTTCGACAGAGTACAATGACAGGCATTTGTGATAAAAGTGATGGTTCTTTGGCTTTGTAACTTGGAATTTCTTGATCATTCAAATAACTACCAACAGCTTAAAAAAGCCTCCACTCCATGAAATTACATAGCTTCTTCCTTTATTGATTACGCAATGCCAACTAAGCTTTTGTAAATGTACTACGTCATTTTCAAGTAATATGACCTATTACAAAGTTGCTGTCTGTATATGTACTGTGAAATGTTCAGCTGAAACCTGGCAGCTGTAAGTTCCAAAACACCAACATTAACATAAAATTTCATAAATTCAAGATTACGGTCTTCTGGCTTGTGACAAATGAAAACATCAACTCTCAAAAGTTCATAAATCAGAGGGAATGGGTCTAATTAAAAGCCTGGCACACATGCAGTAATAAGATTAGCACAAAAAAATTATATATCACCAATAGACTGACACGTTATTACTCTCAGAATTAAAATACATTACCTGACAGATGCCAACATTGTAGACTGGAAAGTGTTACAGAATACAGGAAGTAAGCGACGGAGGTATACAGGTGCCATCTCTGGATCACCCTTGGGTTCCCCACTATCATCTTGTTCCACAGCATCGGTCTTCTTCTCCTTTTCAGCTGGTATCATCCACTCCCCTGCCATAACAAACCGCTACAGTGACTAAATCACTCATGACAGATTATGCTACAGAATTTAATTCATGACTGTAATTTATTTCATGTGTAAAATATCAAAATGTTTTATGTTTTCAACACTGATAGATCAGTATTCTTAGTCAATCATTAAACACGCATCAATTTTGGACTTAATTATTTTAGCTACCGATAATAACTTATTTGATACCCAACACCATGGCAAGCAGCCATGATGAGAAAACTAGATCTGGCCCAAGACCACAACAGTTGCCCAT